TTGTCCCTGGCTTACTGCAAGGAGGAAAGTCTATTCAGCATGAGATTATCAAAATCAACTCGGGGCTGTCTCCGGGGCAGCTAAACACACTTTGATTCCATAAAGACATAACTGATCCCGCATGCATATTAATAATTTTGATCATAGAGTTTGTTGTGTTAGTGGTGGGATTTGTGTGTGTGTGTGTGTGTGTGTGTGTGTGTGTGTGTGTTTAATAAAGTGGGACTGTAGTTATAGCACCTTGGCTGGTCCCTGAGTGTGGCTGGCTGGCAAGGGCAGACCAGGAAGAAGCTTTCTAACTTACCTCAGCGGTACAGCCCTTCAGTACAACCCAGGGTAGACAAGCTATAGGCAGCAGTGATAGAGATTCTTGTTCCAATAAATACCAGCCAGCCAGATCTGGACTGGCAGGTCAGCATCTTATTCCAGAGCTCCAGTGTGTGTGGGGGGTCTACCTGGTACCTGGTCCTCCAGCCACATAGGAAACACCCCCAGGGGACAGTATAAATGAATGTCTGCCTGTAGGGTCCGGTGGGAAGAGAAACAGGTGAGGCGAATGGCTTGCTCAGTCGTGGCCCTGTTTAGGCCTTGGAGTGTGTGGCTCCCAGTAACAGCTGCACACAAAAAGCTACTTGATAGTTTGCCCAACTGCCTCAGCGTCTACCTCTCCAGCAAGCTGAGTTTGTGGCCCTGGCGCCTTCATGAGCTCTGGGTCCCCACGGAGGGACCCAAGAAGCCTCTGAGCTTCCTGTCACCAGAGGCAGTTCACCTTGGACCACAGGATGAGAAAGGTCCCTCAAACCCAGAGGGGTTTGAGGGCTATGATTCTCATTCCCAAATAATCATTTCAAAGATTACCAAAATCATCCATCAATCACTCTGTTTGGACAACTCGAGCTGGGCTATCCGGTGACTTTTATGACCTGTAGCATTTTGTTTGTAATAATAACTGGGAGAGATTTATGGACCCATCTCCGACCCTCTCAATTTATTTTTGACTCTTTTCCTGTCTCCCGCCATGGCCCCAAGGGCTGGCTGGGCCCTTCCAGGGAGAACCGTTTTCCAGGCCTCCAGTCTCACTAATAACGGTGCAAGTTCTGGCTTTCTTTATTTGGGGAGGGGGAGGGAGGGGGAGCTGAGAGCGGGACAAGATGAAATAAAAATACAAGAGAAAAAGGTCACTTCCCCTCGTCTGTTTTCTTCCCAGTTGCCCTGTATTAACACCTCCTTCCTTTGCAAGATGTTGAAAGAAAACAAGATAAAGTGGGACAAAGAGAGAGGCCGTGGGGCCCTGTGTTTCCCTTTTCATATCACCGAAGAGATTGAATCAAAATTCCTTCGGCTGATACCATCTCCCCGGGTGGACTACACTCTTGTTAACGGATAAATTCAAGCCCTCCAGAAAGTCAAAGAATAAATTTAAGCCTTTGCCAAATGTCTATCCTATTGGATTTTGATAAGGCGGCCATTGAGCCTTAATAACGTCTTCCATCCATTTTCCGCGAGCCCTTAACACGGCTCTTTATTCGTCCCCAAAGCCTCTTCGCGCGGCCTTTTTACTACGGGCTCCTGCGCGCTCTCCAGGGAGTCGCGCGGCCAGTGATGGATGGACAGCTCGCTAGATTACCTCCCGCAGATGTTTGCTCTCCAGGAGCCCCGGGCTTCCCTCTAAGTAAACAGACTAAATAGAGTCGCCAGCGGCCGGGGCGGCCCCAGAGGTCCAGGGTTCCGCCGCAGGAAGAGAGGCCTGACCGCAGCCAAAGTGGCTTTTTGGGACGCTCCGGGTGCGCACAGCGCGGGCGCGGGAATGTGGCACCAGGATCTGGGCAGGCGCCCCCCGCCCCCCCGTAGGAGCGTCAGCACAGCCTGCACGAGATGGCAGTGGTGGGGAAGGATGGGGCTCAGAGGGATGCGGATGAGGGAGGGAGGGGGTGCAGAGGCGGCGCAGAAGACAGGGTCTGAGCAGGGTGGATGGGGGTGGGGGCTATGCTGGAGCCAGCAGTGGCTTCGCCCGGTCTGGGGAGGGGTGTGGCCGGGCAGGCTGGCTAGACTCACAGGCTGAGGCCCTGGGCAGTCCTGGGTGTGAATCCTGATACAACTGTCCCATGTGTAGCCACACTCTCTGGACCTGGGCTCCTCCTATAATTTCTGAATAGATGCGCTCAGTACCAGGCTACCTCTGGCAACCTGGCCATTAATGCTTAAGACTTAAAATAGTGACCCCCCCCATTCTCCTTTCAGTATCACAGTGTCGTGGCACTGACCCATTTACTTAACTCTGGAACACTTCACAGAGGCAGATGGAGGGCAGGGAGTATAATCCTCAGCAAGAGGGACAAACGGTTCCTCAGAGATGTCAACTGAATTACCCAAGGTCACACAGCCTCCACATGCCCTCCTGTCCCATGGTTCTGTATCATATTTCTAACACAAGTGTGCATGTCTTCAGGTGGCTCAGAAGACAAGACACCAGGAATTCACTGTCATCCTTGAAACAGCACACAGGTGCGTGTGGTGTTACTTCAGCAAGAAAAAACAAGGCACAGACATGAGTTAAGTACAGCTTAGAAGTAGTATTTGTAAGATGAAAATTTCCACCTAGAAGAAGCTTAAAGGGGTCTATGCCCCCCTTGTCTCCTGGGCCTGGCGTGTGACCCTCTCTGTTGGATTACAACCCTCACCTCAGTCCAATCCCTTCTGTCCTTCACTGCTCAGCTCTGACCTAAGAACTAGGTAAATGATGTGGATTTCTGAGTTCTGCCAAAGTTGGGAAGCTGTGGGGTTTAGGGCCCTAAAGTACTCTGCATCAGCGTCTTAGCTTGGCCAGGGATATTGGAGGACTTGGCGGAGGACACCCCACCAGGAGCCCCCAGCTTCCTCTGATAGGGCAGGGGCCTACAGGACAGGCTAGGTTGGGTGGTGGGAACCCTGTTGGGATACAGCCAGCCCCTCATGTCCCTCTTTGCTGCTGATCTGGATTCTGTCGTATCTCAGCTGGTCTGAGGGCTGGTCTTTTGGGGGTCTGCTGATTCTCTGAGACCCTCAGCCTGACTGAAATTTCAGGAGTAACACAAGAGCCTGCAGTTGAGACAGATCTGCATCTCCAGGTGGTTTCTGGCTGCATAGCACCTCACCTGTGCTACGAGCAGCTCTCAAGATGACCTGGGGCCACGTTAGACAAGACCTCACAGAATGCATTTTATAGAACAAAAGTGCAAATGGCACATGGCCCTACTCTGGAGCACGAGGCGAGCGGCCAGGAGGGCAGCTCATTCTTGTCCTAGCTTACTTTGTCTTGGTTCAAAAGCATACAGGTACTTGCCTCTTCATGGCCCTTTGCATTTGAACTTGGCCCTTTAACCTTCTGCCTTGACTGCTATGCGGGGCTGGGGAGTCCCACCATATGGATTCAGTATCCATCTTTTCCTGTAACCTCTGGTCAGATGAGTCCCAGAGACATACTGACAAGACAGAATCACTGACTGTCACACAGCCTAAGCTCTGTTGCATGCAGTCAACTGTGAGTTACTTTCCCACAATTCTTGAGTGAGCACTTCTAAGAACATGTCCCTCCTTACCCTCTTAGGGAAGACATGAATTCATCTGAAGAGGGGAAAGGAGAGAGAGAGAGAAAATCTGAGCCATGGTATACTCAAAAAGTAGAGAGAGAAAAGGAAGGAAGGAAGGAGGAAGGAAGGAAGGAAGGAGGAAGGAAGGAGGAAGGAAGGAGGAAGGAAGGAAGGAAGGAAGGAAGGCCATCAGACAGGCCAGGCTTAGGCCTCCCCCAGGCAGTGGGCCTGAGTTCTGAATGCAGGAGCACTTAGTGGTAGGCTGAATAGGTCAGACAGTGAGCCCACTGCCAGAGGTCCTTCCTGAGGCCACAGTGGGGCTAGGAAATGCCACTGTCACAGCCTTTCCTCCGAAGTGCTGCCTGGGGCTTGCCTAGGAGAGGGATAGGTCCCAACGCTTGTAGAGAGCTCTGCCCACATGCTCAGCTTAGTGTGTGGAGGACAGGCCTGTCTGTTCACTGGGTGGCAGGACTCCTCAAGCATGTGTTCCTTGTTACACTGGGTGGGCCATGTGCTGATGCAGCCCGTCAGCATCACCCTTGCCCCCAAGCAAGGACGCCCAGGGAGGTGACGTTACTGGAATTTCATGGGAAGAATATGAACAATGTCAGCTGCTTGTGTGAACATGGGCATATATGTTTTGTGTGTGTGTGTGTGCATGTGTGTGTGTGTGTGTGTGTGTGTGTGTGTGTGTACAGATATCATGAGCTGTGCCTGGTGAGTGAGCTCAGGCTTTGGAGCTGATTGGCGATCAGCCTCTTAGAGCTGTCTAGACAGCAGCAGGCACACTCGGGTATATGCACCCTTCTCTGTGTGCATCTCCCTGGGCTGTGTATTTTCCCTCTGCATAGCGCTCTCTCTCTCTCTCTCTCTCTCTCTCTCTCTCTCTCTCTCTCTCTTTCAGAACTGTCAACCAGCTATGATCCATCATTAGCCAGCAAAGTGGCAGATAATGCCCAGTTGACACTTTTTCTTTTGCCTGATGGTCTGCTTACTTAAAGTGATGCTTGAACCCTCTTTGGGAGCTAAGAGCACAGAAAAGCAACTGTTGAATCTGTAGCTGGTTGTCCCCGACCCCCGTCATATTCTTTTCATGTGAGAATCCGGTGAAGACAGTTAAATAAACACAACCCGCCTTTATTTAATTTCTGTGTGTCTGCCTGGCCCTCAGCACTCCCACAGGCACCGGCTTCTTCTCGGTTCTCAAGACCTGGGGTGACTCAGTGAGGTGACCCCCCCCCACCTGTTTACACAGTGAAAATGAGTGTCGCCCCAGTTGAGTTCAGGACACACATCGTGTGTGGATAGTGGTCTGCTCACGGATGGCCTCTATGCTGCTCTGTAACTCAGAAATGACCCAAATCATGCAGATCCAGGTTGGATCCAGGGAGAAGGTGCTGGGGCACAGTGGCGCAGGATGCGTTCGCCTACCTTTTTGATGCAGCCCTCTTGGGAGGACACCTCCGTGTCAGTCAGCATCTGCTGCAAAGAAAATTGGAAAGGACTGTTAGTGATTGAGATGTGGTCCTCAAGCTGCAGTGGGTGCAGGACCTCGGGGCAGATCGACACCTCCGTAAGCTTAATGGCAAAGACCTTGTGGCTTCTCCATAGAATGAAAGGAAGTACTTTGTTGATAATGAAACCTTGTTCTAACTTTATTTTTGTTGCTGTGATAAATTATCCTGACCAAAGGCAACACAAGGAAAGAGTTTACCTGGCTTTCCAGGTCCAGGTTACACTCTCCCATTTGGGGGAAGTTGAGGCAGGAACTCAAGTAGCCAGTCACAACACATCCATAGTCAAGAGCTAAGAGATGATAAATACATCCTTGCTTGCTGCTTAGTGGACAGAAGACCCTGCTTCTTATCCCCCCAGCAGGGTGTGTGTGGTAGAGATGGTACTGTTCCGTCTGCCCAGTCTAGGAGGGCGAGCCGGTGGGATACACTGCCCTGCCTTCCTGGGGATTCCAGTCTGACTCAGGAGGTCGTACTCAGGGGGAGCCATGGGTCCCAGCTCTGTTCCAGGAGAAAGTGGACATTGGGGAGGCCAGAGCAGGGCTCTGGATGAAGGGGAGGGGGCGATGCCATTTCGTGTCCTTTTTTTGGCAGGTCCAAGGTGGTGGCATGTCACCTGCTCTTACTAATGTGCCGTGTCCCAGGAAGAGGGTGCTTTTCAAATTTATTTATAGCAACTTGGTTCATAATTGCCCATGAGTGAAAAGAAGTGAAATGTCCTTCAACTTGGGACTCAATAAAAATCCACACAATGGAGTACAGATCAGGCATCAGAACTACTGACACACCCAGTGACATGGATCTCAACTCTGTTATTCATAGGAAGTTATTCTCAAAAAGCTACAGTTAAATTCCACTTGTGATTCTAGGAAGATGGTTCTTTGTAGTCTATGGAGGCGCTCAGCTGTGGTTCCGGGCATCACAGAAGTGCCTTGGGGACCATGGAAGACCCTCTCGGCCCAACTGTGGGCAGTATAGGCCCCCTCCAATTCCTCCTCTGGCTCATAGACATGCCTGGCATCAGTGAGGAGGGAATGCACCACTCCCGCCTGGGTCCTTCTTCCGCCTGAGAGACTCCCGCACAGCTTTCCGTGGCTCCGTTCGTCCGCATGGCTGTGGCCTTTTGCCCCACGTCTCCTCTCACAAACCACCAGGCATTGTTCCAGAGAGTGGCGTGTCAGTGCCCAGACCCACATCACTGAAGCTAAGCAAACCAAGAAACGAGAGGCAGAAATGGGACTTCTCCCTCCCGAATCGAAAGAGCAGCGTGTAGCTTCACGTTTGAAAGTGATAATACCACATCCGAAAGAGGAGGGGCCGGACTGAAAAGTCACCCTTGGAAAATTAAACGAGGAGTGATGTCAGACCCACGGACTTTCTTTCCCTCCCCTTCACACTGCCCCGAGGTGCCCACATGTGCCTGCTTGGGCTGGCGAGGGGACCAAGATGCGGCGTACCAAATGTGGCTCTGCCTACCTCAGCTGTAATAACAAGAGGTCATACTCAAAATGTTGGGAATTCTAACCAATTGGGGATTTTATGTTTCTTTTAATAGATTCTGAAACCGGTTTGGAAGCGCTGTAAGTGGAAAGAGAATGAGGCAAGGTGGACGCCATGCAGCACTCCACAGCAGCCTTCGTGGGAGGATTCTCCAGAGACCCAATAGTGGACTCTTCCCAGCCTGGCTGCACACCGCCACATGGTCATCCTCAGAGGCCGGGCAGAGTTGACCCATGGATAGTAGGAGGAAGGCACGGCTGACAACTGAACCCCTTTCCTGCTTATCCAGGAAAGTCTGAATTCACCAGTGCCCCAGGCAGAGGCTCCCTTCGGCAGCTCCCTCCTGACAGATGGACACAGTCTACCCGAGGCTGTACTCTGGATGCTGCTCCTAGCTGGGATGGAGAGCTCAGTTACCAGTTCACAGGGTGGCCATTCTGTGCTGCAGGCCACCGAGGACAGGTAGTGTCCTGTGAACCATTACTTCTCTTGGCTTTCAAGGGTCTGGATTGAGCCAGAAGGAGAAAATGGATATTTTCATTTTTCCAATGAAAGCAATTCTTGTAATACCCTGGGTGGGGTGCGGGGAAAGGGGTGACTAGATATATCCAGGGAGGGATGGGCCACCGGGAAGACGTCTCTTGGAAACCAACTCAGCCTGTGTCCTGAATGGTCAGTTAGACACCGGTACCATTTTCAACCATGAAATCAGCTACTTTAGGCCATGGTGTTGTCTGAGCTGCCAGCTTAGTGAATGGAAATCCTCATGCTGACGAGCACTGGCAAGGAAGTCTGGGTTGGGTGCTCCTCCCAGTCACCCTATCCCTACTGAAATCCCTTCCTAGGGTGCCAGGTTTCACACCTGCATACACACCTGCATACACACACACACACACACACACACACACACACACAGCACACCATTGCAAAGTCCCTAAGTGTGTTGAGCCTGTCGACACACAGGTCACAGAAGACCATGTGACCTTTCAGGAGCCGACTATGAGCTTGCTTGGTGGCATTCCACCTTGTACTGCACTGACACACTAACTTTAAATTCAGTGCTATTTCAAAGCAGCGAACTGGGGTGTAGGACAGGGTACTCTGGCTGGTCCGAGGCTGCCAGAGATCAGGCTGTCTTGGCTCTCCCCACCCCAGCCATGGGGATTCCTGAGAGTAAGGGGTGTTCGTGCCTTAGCTGAGCCTCCCTGAGCAAGAAAGGTGCATCTCATGTTCTGTTAAACGTGGACCCATGCAGCCCCGCCTTCTCCATACCCCAGGTGCTCAAGCCAAGCTTCAGGTGCCCACATGGGCACCATCAGCCAGCACAGCTCCCACACTGCTCCTCCTGGGAGGGAGAGGGTTGGGCCTTCCAGGTAATTCAAGCCGGTACCTGTGTCTCTCTGGTTTCAAGTGCGGATGGTCAAAACTTTGGGTAGGTAGTGAAGACCCTCATCATCACTGACTTTTGACAGCCCTGACCTTTCCCTCTCCCTGTCCCTCCAAGGCCTTAGGTCTGAGGGAAGTGGCAGTGGTGACAATTGAGGCTTTTAAGGCACCTGTCACCTGAGCCATCGCATTTGCATTTGAGACATTCGTGAGGCAAATGTCTCCTGCAGTCACTTGGCTGAGGAGGCCTGGCATTTTCCATAGGCCAGAGATGCCTCAGGTCAGGCAGAGGGCTGGAGGTAGGGGCTTCTCTGAGAATCCTAGAGGCTGCATTTTGAATGTGTCTCACCCTTCAGAAAGTTAATAACAACCTCTAGAGTGAAGCCAGGGCCCATGGAGTGGACACGGGAGATACTGTAGGCCTCAGCCTTACAGGGAAGCCGGGTGGGCCTGCCAGCTCTGTTTCAGAAACCACAGTGACCTTTCCAAGGACTGCAGATGCTGCAGAAGTCGACAGTGTCTCCAAGGTGTAGGATCCCAGGGAGGGCCCTGCAGGCCAAAGGCTGGTCCTACACAGAGACTGCATATGTGAATCCAGTCACTCACACCAATGGTCTGACTCAGCCCCCACACCTCAGTCAAAAACCAGGAGGAGGACTGTTCTGGAGAGCTGAGCCTGCTTCCTGTGTACATGAGGAACTGATGCATTCAGAGCTGGAAGGCCAGTGGGCACATCTGTGGGCAGTCATAAGGCCTTCTCCCAACCTCGCTTCCATCCCTTAACTTAGAAGGGACGTGTGTCCGACAGACTTTTGGATGAGTGTGGCCCTTCATCAGAGGCTAAGGAGTGGCAAAGTCAGATGATCACCCATTAGCTCATCAACCCGTCACTCTGAACTCCTTTTCATTTCTGAAAGAGTCGACCTGTCTGTGGTGGTAGAGCCTACCTATCCTGGAGCTTGCCGTCAGAGAGGAACGTTGAACGCATCATCCGGACCCTTCAAGAGGCACCAGGTGGAAGGAATGCCCAGAGCCATGTGCATCCTAGGGAGCAGGGCCCGCTCTGAACTCCTTTTCATTTCTGAAAGAGTCGACCTGTCTGTGGTGGTAGATCCTACCTATCCTGGAGCTTGCCGTCAGAGAGGAACGTTGAACGCATCATCCCGACCCTTCAAGAGGCACCAGGTGGAAGGAATGCCCAGAGCCGTGTGCATCCTAGGGAGCAGGGCCCAACCACGGGTCCGGCCACCCCTGGGGACAGGCGCCGGGACTTTTGTCCTTGCCTTCTTCACACATACTTTGAGTCCATGCTCACTGGGCTTCAGGTATACAAGCTTGCTCTGAGGCACACTGTGAGCCGTCCACGTGACAAGCTTTCTCTGTCACTGGTGCTGGGAGGAGGGAGCATCGTGTCCCGCAGCCCTCAGAGGAATCTGGTGCCTCATGACTTTCCAGAGGAGCACTTACAAGGGTGGGTCTGAGTCGGGTTCTGGAACCACTGGCCCCGATTGTATAGCGGCATTAGTAGGTAGGAACATGGTTAATGAGGCCCCCTCACCTGCTGCTGACCTCGGGTGGAGAAACCGCCGGACGCACTCCGGAGCCTCTCAGCCTTGGCTTCCTCCCTGGCCGGGCTGCAGCTTACTGAAAACCTTCTTTATTTTGCTAGCTTAGCCTCAGCACAAGCACTGCTGGTCTGTCGATTGTTGGCAGTGGCCGCCAGGCTTCAACTTCTCCTCCGCACCCCGGCAGAAGTATTAGGTGTGTTTTGATTGAGCATTTTAGCCAAAAAAGCGAGGTCTGACCTCCGGCATTTAACTTTTCTCTCGAGTATCAGTGCCAGGATTTAGCTAAGTGGGCTTGCTCAAAACATCTTTTTTGACTCTTAGAATAAATACCCTCTGTTCTCCAAGAAGTCGGTGAAGAGTATACACACACACACACACACACACACACACACACACACACCTACCTCAGGCTCACAGCTCCAAAGCTCTGGCACGACCCCTAAGGGGGCTGACTTTCTGTTTGGTGTCACAAATGGATTCCAGAAGCCGCCCTTCCCTTGAAAAGGATCTGGAA